AAGAAAAGCAAGAATGAGCAGAGGTGATACAAGGACAGCACCTCTAATCACCTTGTCAATTGACACACAGAAATCTCCCCAGAGAAAGAAAATCAATGTTTATAGAACTAATGGAATTTCAAATATTTGGGCAGTGTTATGACTACACTCTGTCTTAAAGTTTTCAAAATTTTTCCTGTAACCAAAAGAGGGGGAAATGTTGTTATTTATAATTGGGTGTTCTGTGAATAGTGGTTTCTGCTTACAGCACCTCATATCAAAGGATTTTCTAGGACAATCAGATTGGCTCAAACTGAAACAATCCAATTACTAGCAAAAACTGCCTCAGGCTTAAAGAGCCAATGGGCTTTAGATAACTATGATGTTTTAGTATTTGCATTCTTTAGAAGACTGCCTCAAAGTAAACTCAACAAAAGTTGAAGTCTATTCTGTAATACTGCTTTGAAAGTATTTCAACTCCTCACTCATAAACTTATTTAAGAGACATAATTATATATTATCAACTCATCAATATTTCCAATGGCTATAAAAAGGTCAAATCAATGAAGACATAGTAAATACTATAAAACAAATGAAAGTATTAGCACATGTAGCAATGGATATACCACATTTTAACTTTGTATTTATGGAATTGAAAAATAAATTTAAAATCAATATGTGTAAAAATAATTTTACTTTAAATTTGGAGGCTCTCTGTTGTATGTTATACGTTAAAGAATTATATGTTGTATGTATATATGTTAAAGAATAGTATTGTCTTACTAAACTTTGAATGTTATACCTTTCTATTAGTCTTGGAATGTATGAACATATGAACACAGTGGTAAACCAACATTCTTATTTTTTCATAGAACCTCAGAGGAAGATATTTCAGCTAGATAAAGAGCTGAAATATCTTTATATATCTTTATATCTTTATATATGCCTTTATATATATCTTCACAAAATATCTTCACATCTTATCATAAATGTCATTTCTGATCTTAAAGTCAGTGGGTCCTTAACCAGGGTTGATTTAGAGGTGAACAAAGACTCCCAATGTTCTGCAGCTCTTGAGAAGAATTTTTCTGGTGTAGTTCAGACATCCATGGAGAATTGAGTAGAAACCATGAAACAAATGTAAACCCGTTAAGTCTTTCATTCATTTAGTTATTCTTTCCAATTTTTCAATAAATATAATGTTTTTTCAAGAGCTTCAAAGCTACAGGAGAGTGGGTAAGCACTATAAATACGAATCTGGAGTAGAAAAATGCAATACAATAAAATCAATATAATATGCCGTTAAAATGAATTGGGCATGCTATCAAAACTACAGGAGTACCATCTGACACAGAATATCCAGTTACTTCAAAGCAGGGAAGAAGTATCCCTGAAGTAAAATAATAGAGAAAACAACAAGTACTTATAAAGCATATTGGAAAGAAGCAAAGCTGTCAGATTTCAATTTTAAAAAAGTTCAGTACTTAGCCTTTTTAAAGAAATACTACATGAAGGGGGAATTAGCTTTGGTAACAAAGGCATTGGAGTGAAATAGGGAATTCGTCCATAAGATATCTTAAACAAATAAACATACATGCAAGGAACCTGTAGAAATAATGATAACAATCATCTTAGATTATTAAAACTAAAACAGTTTACAAAGATTCAAACAACAGTTTAGAACTTTTAATAATTGTCTTTTCATGTACATTATAGTAAAAGATGAGAATCTAAGGGTGAAAGTGCAGGCAAACATCTCTATCACCTAATTCTCCCCAGCACACAGAAATTTCTCTTTATACCTTTATCCATTATCCAAGGATACGTACAATAGGAACCCAATAAGTGTTGATAAATACAGAATTTGACTTTAAGCATAATACACAGTACCCATAAAGACTAAAATAGTTATCCATTCTAAAAAGAAGACTCGAAACTATACAAGTGACACCCTGACTTCCTTAATATGAATCGCTTTATCTCTTCAGGTGATACTATTTTTTAGGTATAAAACTCTATTTTCTAGCTTACTTTCCTACTGCTGGTCCACTGAGAAGCAATTCTGTGTTTTGCACTTCTGATATTTCCTATTTGGCCCCATCTTGCAGGTGGGTCCCATGCTTAGCAATACTAGCTGTGAGACATAAAGCATAAAGGTCCCTTAGAAAGTTCTTAGATATTTTCAGCATTTCAGCTATGTTCTTTTCTATGTTTCCAAAGTATCTTTCTGGATTAAAAGTAGCCTGTTTTAAAAGAACAAAAATCTTTCGATTAATGTTTATTGTTATACAAAAACTACTTTCTAAAATATACTAGAAATATATTTATATTTTATATATAAGGGCTGGAGCGATAGTATAGCAGGTAGGGCATTTGCCTTGCACGTGGCCGACCCAGGTTCAATTCATCCGCCCCTCTTGGAGAGCCTGGCAAGCTATGGAGAGTATCTTGCACGTCCAGCCAAGCCTGGCAAGCTACCATGACCTATTTGATATGCCAAAAACAGTAACAACATGTCTCACAATTTCTTGTGAGACGTTACTGATGCCCGCTTGAGCAAATTAATGAACAACAGGAGGACAATGCTACAGTGAAGTCACTGTCACTGTCCTTCCGTTGTTCATCGATTTACCTGAGCAAGCCCAGTAATGTCTCCATTTTGACACTTGTTACTGTGTTCCGCATATCAAATACATTACGGGTAGCTTGCCAGGCTTTGCCGTGCAGACGAGATACTATTGGTAGGTTGCCAGGCTCTCTGAGAGGGGCGAAAGAATCAAACTCGGGTCGGCCATGTTGGCTGTTTGCAAGGCAAATGCCCTACCTGCTGTGCTATCACTCCAACCCGACAGTGAAGTATATATAAATTTTAAGTATATATAATCATTAGATCCAGTTAGTTTAAATTTTAATTTTTGTTCTGAAGTCCAAAGCCTGTCATTCATTGAAATCTGAGAAACAATAGAATGTTATTCAAAGAATAGCACATTATATTTTGCAAATAGTATTCATCAGGAGGAAACAGAATAATTTTGGTTACAATTATTTTCAATTACTTATATCCCTGAATTATGTTATATATTATCACACACAAAACCTATTGTTACTCAATTTCTCCTTTCTTCCAATGTGAAACTCTATATTTCTAAAATAATTATTTAAATTCAAGAAGCACCAACAAAGAAAAATGAAAGGTTATATAAATGTCACTGCCTTTCTGTGAATTTTACATGGTCTTGCTGAACTCAACTCTATGAACATCTGGACCGAATCACTACTGAGAAGAGAAATACATCTGAGCATGAAATGTTGTTTCCTAGCAATACCTTCTTGACATAGAACTCATTTGGAAATGTGTAAAAAAAATTATTTTCCTACTCACACATTTGAACCTGCATTGCTATCATTTTCCTCTAAAGAATAATTCTGGAAAATTACAAAAAAGTACATACTATTTATTTATTTGTTTATTTATTTGGGTTTTGTGCTACACCCAGTGGTGCTCAGGGATTGTTCCTGACTCCTCACTCAATCACTCCTGTCGGGCTTCAGGGACAATATGGGATGCTGAGACTCAAACCAGGTTGGCCACTTGCAAGGCAAGAGACATTTCCATATTTTACTTTATGTAAGGTTTTTACAATATTTTACATGCTTTAAAACATCAGAGCATCTCAGTTAAAATCTAAACTGACTTTTTGAAAACATTTGATAGATAATAATGTAGAAAAGAGAATGTGGTTGTGGGTTTTTGTTGTTCTGATAAATTACTTAACAACATTGATGACCACATATAGTATTATAACATAAACTACCAAAACAGGCTAAACATAAACTTCCAAACTAGAAGACTTACTTTATCAGTACAATGTAATTACTGTTTCAATAAATTCATATCACTAACTTTTTCTATATTTGAGATCTTAAAAGCAATTCCTTCTCTTACTCTTGTTTCTTTCCTCAAAATGTCTCATCTTGTTTTTATCATTAATATCTCAGAGAATTTTTTTGGAAATAAGTTAGATGTCTGTTGGAACAATTCTAGAAAATCATTTATACTTATAGCATATAATAATGGTATTTTATCTTAATCTTTTAATTAAAATGTTTTTATATCTCAGTAATAAAAATTTGTTTTATATTAAGGTATTAGCACAGCGGGTAGCGCGTATACCTTGTATGCAGCAGACCGGGTTCAATTCCTCCATCCCTCAGAGAGCCCGACAAGCTACTGAGTGTGTCTCGCCCACACAGTAGAGCCTGGCAAGCTCCCCGAGGTGTATTCGATATGCCAAAAACAGTAACAAATCTCACAATGGAGATGTTGCTGGTGTCTGATAGAGCAAATCGATGAACAACAGTAGGACACTGGTACAGTGATTAAGGCATTGTAAGGCCATTAAATATTATTTAATCAAGAACATTGAAACTATTGATAATTGTGGGTAAAATAATAAAATTACTGTAATCCCACCAATATGTGATATGCTATACTTACTCTATTTCTATATCTATGATCTGTAACTAAAGTAGGCTATTCATTGTTCCATACTGTGATTTTTAACATACTTTGTGGTGCAATAACTACTATTTCATTACTCTTTAAATATAAATTTCAATATTTCCATAATTTTCCAGCCTATGTTTGTAGTTGTGTATTCCTTTCCATTTAGTTTTGAAAATGAGGCATCTCTGTTTAAACATTAAACTATTTCATAGATAAGGATGAGGCATATTAATTAAATCTGGATCTCTGTATACAGTTTACTTCATTTGTCTGGCATGGCATTTGTGCCAAGGAAAAAAATGCAGGCACACTTAGGCAACGAGGTCAGTATAGTCTGTCACATTTTAGGCCAAAATTGACTTCACAGTACAACCTTATTAAACAATGTTTTCTGTAATTTTATGGTAATCTACATTTTATTTCAATTAATAGAATAGAAGAAACATTAAAACGTATAGTCCAGACTTTCACATTTTTATTTCCTTCTTCAGAAAGAAAAGTCAGAATTGTTTACCTGGAGATATGATGTAGAAGAAATCTTTGAACTCATCCATCCAAACTTCTGCCAGTCTCCTGTTGTTCTTATTGATGACATGACCAGTTCCCCCAGGGAAGGTGTATGGAGTTGCCTTCCGGAAAACATGACCAACATGTGAGCAGGTCACAATCTCCAGGGAGCCTCCACATTGCCAAATCTAGGGAACAGAGCATTTGAGATAAAACCTTTGTTATATACACTGCAGTACCATTTTATGAGAAACATGTGAGGCAAAACTATTGGATCTCATACGGTTCAAGCAAACATCTGATGGACACTGAGATTTAATATCAGAAAACTATTTTTCTGATATTAATGTTTGGCCAATGATACTAATTTGGAATAGTTTGAAATATTTCATATTACAGCATTAGAATAATGGAAGCAAGATAGAATGATTTTTATTTGATCTTAGTCAATAGTCATTTGATATCCAAAATCTGTTATGAAAGAATGAATTTGTGCATGTTGATCTCATGACCAGTAACTAAAGTTTCTTTGTGGAAAAACCCATCTGTCATATTATATTTATGTGGAATTTTAAATGACCAATTCTGTCTTGATGTCCATATCTCCTGCAATTTAGACCTTAGGATAACCCAGGTCACCACTTCCAGCTATCCATGATTTTTATGAGTAGGCCTATAGGTTCAATGCTGTGATGACTGGTAAAGACCAGGTCTCTAGTTCCACCTGAGTGATGCTCAAATATCAGGGATACCAGTACCATGCCCAGCAGTGCACCAGGGTTCATGCAGTCCAACAGATCAAATTCAAGGTGGCCCACGTATGAGGCATATGATCAACCTCTTACTTTATTTACCAACCACACACAAATAGATAGATAGATAGATAGATAGATAGATAGATAGATAGATAGATTAAAGGCCCTCCCGTTGATCGTCGATTTGCTCGAGCGGGCCCAGTAACGTCTCCATTGGAGACTTTGTTGTTACTGTGTCTGGCATATCGAATACTCTCGGTAGCTTGCCGGGCTCTCCGAGAGGGGCGGAGGAATCGAACTCGGGTCGGCCATGTTGGCCGCTTGTAAGGCGAACGCCCTACCCGCTGTGCTATCGCTCCTATACTCTTAATTATAGGGGCCACAGAGAAAGCTCAAAGAGCTGGTACTATACCTTGTGTGACTAAGATCTGGAGCTTGATCCTTAACACTAGTTAGGGGATTTGAGGAACACTAGGGTAGCTATCATAGTCCCAGAGCACCTTTGGACTGTGCATTGAACCACCTATCTGCACTGCCAGGTCAAACGTCTGTGGAAGTGATATTGTACACATGAGTTTTGCCTATTAAACACTGAGCTGCAGGCTGGAGCAATAGCACAGTGGGGCATATTCTTGACTTGCACATAGCCGACTGGGATTCAAAGTCCCACCCCACCCTCCACGGCCACATCCCATCTGGTCCTCCAAGCCTGCCAGGAGTTACTTTTGAGCGCAAAGCCAGGAGTAACCTCTGAGCACCGCTGGCTCAAAACCAAAACCAGAACCAAAAAAAAAAAAATGAGTTAGAACTCCTTTGCATCTGCTTAACATTTATGCCTCCTTCAAAGTCTGTCTACAAAACCTTTGCTTTTAGGAAACTCTGTGGACGATTTAGTATCTTATCACTTTTATACTTTAAACATTATTTTATGAACATATAATCATTCTCTATTATAAGCATTTATATCACTAGATCTTCTTTAAAAGCATGAACTCTCAGAAAACATATTACTTGTATTTCTTGGTATCCTATTTCATGTGTACTTAAGCTTCTGATATGTACATGTTTACATACTCTCTGTATATGGGTCCCCTCAAATATTTCTCAGTTCAGATCCTCTAGGACCAGTCTTAGGTTTCCAGATACATATTTGATACCTCTTCTTCCATGAATTAAAGATTGCTCAGTCACCATATACAAAATGGAAAAATGTCTCAGCCATATCTTTGCTTTTGTTTTCCAATCACTCTTAAAAAAAAATCTTAGATATTTTTTAACATTCTTCACTCAGGTGTTCATTTAAGACCCACCACCACAAAAACACCTCAAACCTCAGGAGTATCATTGATTTGCTTTTCCTTTTCTTTTATCACTTATACTCAATCCACTAATAAATCTTGGCATTACTTTCTGTATAATAATTTCCAGAGTATCTATCTCCAACATCTGCTATTTGCAATTGTAGTAAACTCTCTTGCCGCTTTCAATGTTTTACTGTAAAACAAATTTCTATAATTTGTTTTATGCTAAAAAAGAGCGGTATGGAGTATCAGTCACTTCATCTTACTTGCCTCCTTAAATACTTCAATGTTTCTCTTTGTACTGTGAATAAAAACAAAATTCTTGAGTATGGTCTTATATCCTATATGATTCTCTCTCCACATCAATAAACAACAGTATTGATGCTAGAATAATGTATCTTGAACACTTTCAAATAATAAAAGATTGAACATTAGCTTTCCTTACACAGGGAATAAAAGCATTTGTCCTTTACCTGGACTGGAGTGATAACACAAAGGGTAGGGTGTTTGCCTTGCATGAGGCCAACCTGGGAATACCGGGTTTGATTACTCTGCCCCTCTCGGAGATCCCCGCAAGCTACTGAGAGTATCCCTCCCACGTGGCAAAGCCTGGCAAGCTACCAGTGACGTATTTGATATGCCAAAAACAGTAACAACAAGTCTCACAATGGAGTTTCACTTGGCACCAGTAATGGTGCCCGCTCGAGCAAATCAATGAATGGGGCAACAGTGCTACAGTGTAGTGCACTCTACTTCACTAACTGCCTCTTTCCCATATTTCTGTTCCTAAAGTACCACATCAGAGATATTTTCTCTATGGCCATATTTAAAATCCTCACAATAGCTATTTTCTCTACTGGAATCATGTTTATTATTTATTGCATCAATCAACTTGTTGGCCTTTGTACATTTTTTTCTACAACAAAAATGTATTCACTAAAGAAGCAAAGGAAATGTCAGGTTATAGTTTTATCTCCAGATCCAAATCTAGTGCCTGGTACATAGAAGACAACAAAATATGTTGGTTGAGGAGCTAAGGGAGAGTAGAGCTAGACATACACTCAAACATCATCAGAGACAACCCTGGAGCTCCAGGACACTTCTGGGTATGGTACTTAAATCTTTTACTATGTTCAGGGTGTCCTGAGTATCCTAGACTCCACAGCGTTCAAGCAGAAATACATCCTGGGCCCTTGCATTAAACCTCTGGCAGTGATCCCTTAGTGTACTTTCAATAAATATTATGAAAGAAGAAAAGTAAGAGGGAAGAACAATTATGAAATTGCAATTAGGAATTTGAGTTTAAATAAGGAGGGCTGGAGCGATAGCACCGCGGTAGGGCGTTTGCCTTGCACGCAGCCAACATGGCTGACCCGAGTTCTATTCCTCTGCCCCTCTCAGAAAGCCCGGCAAACTACCGGGAGTATCTCGCCCACACGGCAGAGCCTGGCAAGCTACCCGTAATGTATTCGATATGCCAAACACAGTAACAACAAAGTCTCCAATGGAGACGTTACTGGGCCCGCTTGAGCAAATTGATGAACAACGGGAGGACAGTGACAGTGACAGTGCCTGTCACTCCTTAACACCACTGGGACGGGAGAGATAGCACAGTGGGTAGGGCATTTGCCTTGCAAGCGGCCAACCCGGGTTCGATTCCCAGCATCCCATATGGTCCCCTGAGCACCGCCAGGAGTAACTCCTGAGTGCAGAGCCAGGAGTAACCCCTGCGCATTGCCGGGTGTGACCAAAAAAGCAAAAATAAATAAATAAATAAATAAATAAAATAAGGAGCTGTTGGTCCTCCCGTTGTTCATCCATTTGCTCGAGCAGGCCCAGTAACGTCTCCATTGGAGACTTTGTTGTTACTGTGTTTGACATATAGAATACATCAGGGGTAGCTTGCCAGGCTCTGCTGTATGGGCAAGATACTCTCGGGAGCTTCCCAGGCTCTCCAAGAGGGGCAGAGGAATCGAATTAGGGTCAACCATATTGGTTGCTTGTAAGGCAAATGCCCTACAGCTGTGCTATCGCTCCAGAAAATTATTTTTATGACTGTCACTTATTATCTATGTATACTTATAAATTATTTTTATGAAGGATCAGTGATATGGTAAGAGTGATGAACACATGCTTGCACGTGAAACCTTTGGGTAGAATCAGCAACACCAGGTGGTCTCCTGAACACTGCTAGGAGTGTCTCAAACAGCAAAAAGAAATATTATGCCTTCAAGTTCTTCCTTTTTCCACTGGAAAAACGGAACAATAATAACTATCTTCTAAGACCCTCATGAGTTTGTTTGTATCAAATATCATATTTGGGATTTTGTACATGAAGTGTTAAAATGTCAATTGTCTACTATTTAGCTCTTTTGCTGTTGACTGGGGTGAGAACTAGCTGCAGAAGGGAGGTTTTTTTTTTTTTCAGTTTAATTATACCTTTATGTTATGAGTGTGAGTGTGTAGGGAGAGATTTTGTTTGCCAGGTTTAATCAACTGGAGATCATATAAGGGTCGACCACAAGTCAGGCATATCTTAATTCATGAACTATCTCTCTGGACCCTTGTAAATTTGTACTTGTTTTAAAAAACATTTCATTTAAGTTCATGAATTTTGTCTTTTAGGTAATTATAATATTAATGTCTAAGGGTTTAGATACACTGTGAGTGAGTCAAATAATAGCCAACAAATTTCCAATTAAAAGACTACCTTTCTGGTGGAAAATGGGCACTGGTGGAGGGATGGGTATCTGATCATTGTATAATCGAAACCCAAGCACAAAAAATTGTAAATCTACAACTGTACCTCATGGTGTTTCACTAATTTAAAAAAAAATTATATTACTAATAAAAAAAAAGACACTTTTCCCCAAAAAAAAAAAAGAATACCTTTCATTTTCTGAAAATTGTAACCTATAAAAAACCGCAACATAAAAATAACAAAACATGATGTTTCTTTCACATAAATCCCTGATGTACCACCAATGATTGTATCTATTATTTTATAGACTTCCAACAGATTAATTTTGTGTTTATATCCAGCATGTCAATCTGAATATGTAAAAAAAAAAAAGCAAACAGTCTTTTGATTCACAGAGGATAAGAGCTAGCAGATTACTTCTCTTTGTTCCC